AATTTGATCAACGTGTCTTTTAAGTAATTGACCATCATCCTCTGCCAAGGAATACCTTCGTGGGCTGACAGCAGTTTTCACGATACCCTTTACCCATTTATCTCGTCCTCCGTAACCGCGCGCCCATACCTTGTCGCCTTCTCGAAAGTTCCGTGATAATCCGCCGGCGTATTCTACTTGGCGTCTTTGAGTTTCCCAAACCTTATCCTCGTCCATCCGCTCGGAGCGCAACAGATCCAACCTCGAACGCAGAGACCTCTTTTGCAGCCGCATAGCCGGTGTCTCACCGGTCGTACTATGGACAGTGTTTCGATAAGCTAGAAGAAACGTTTGTAACGCTGCATCTATATCTACATTGTCCCTATACGCTTTTTTAAACGCGAGTTTACACAACTTAACAGCATTCTCGGCTGCACCGTTTGAGGCCGGGTGATATATCGGTGAGAACGTTTGCTTTATTCCATTATTGGATAAGAAATTTTTAAATTCTAAACTTGTGAAGGGCGGAACTTGATCTGAAACCAATTCTTTCGGTAAACCAAACCTTGCAAAAGTGGATCTTAATATTTTAATTACACTTGACGCAGTAGTGCGAGTCATTTCAAAAAGTTCTATCCATTTTGAAGTCGAGTCTACCAAAATAAAGAAAATTAACCCCTTGTATGGGCCCAAAAAGTCAATATGCAGCCTACTCCAGGGACGGGTGAGGTACGGCCACGGCTGTATTCGAGACCGCGGCGGTGCGTCGGCCTCCGCCGCACACGTCTCACACTGCTTACACGTAATTTCTACATCGTCATCTATCTTAGGCCACCATACGTAACTTCGAGCTAAAGATTTAGTTTTTACTATACCCATATGGCTGATGTGCAATTGTTTTAAAACGTGATCCCGTAATGACGCCGGTATTACCATACAATAACCCATACCATACACGTCCATATTCGGTATACAATTCATTGCGCCTAACAAAATAGGGTTTTATGTGATCATCGGGGCAAGACAAAGGCCATCCCGATTGAATATACCCTAAAATCCTACTTAGAACTACGTCACCGGCCGTTGCCTGTTTTATTTCTTCACTCGTTACCGGTAAGAATTTTTCTACAAAATTAATATATGTGTTCTCATCCCTATTTTTAATTTCTTTACTGTTGCTATGAGGTAACCTTGATAATGCATCGCGCAATTCCCGTTAGACGACACAAATTCTATCTGGTAACTGTACCCAGATAATAAGACTGCACAACGATGTAATCTCGATGCGGCCATTATCGGTATGCCTACTTTATTTCCTAAAATATATGTTAATGGCTTATGATCCGTTCTCAGTATAAATTTTCGACCATACAAGAATTAATGAAATTTGCGGACGCCGTAAACAATAGAAAGTGCTTCCCGATCAATTTGTGAGTAAGCGCGTTCTGCAAAAGGTAGCGCTCGAGAAGCATATGCCACCGGCCGCTCGCCGCTCGTCGTCGTGTACGATATAACAGCGCCAATACCTACGCTACTCGCGTCTGTTGTCAATATTAGTGGCAATTCAGGCGAATAGTGCATTAATATCTTACTATAGATAGTTCAACTCAGTTGTGCGCGCGGCCCTATGTGTGCGTGGGCTTGTAAATATACAACTTTCATTCGTGTGGTATTCGTCTTGCTCGGACGACGACTGCCGCGTCACTGCGATAATCCATAAACTAATCTATTATACATAAATAAGCCCTTGTGTATTAATTACTGTGTATTTCTTTGTGTCATCCAATTCAAATTGCGCGTATGCCTGTGACAGGTCTATTTTACTAAAAAGCCACCCCCTCCCCCCCCCTTCAAACGAAATAATAATTCCTCGACTCTCGGCAACGGATAACGGTCAATTTCTACGACTTTATTTAAGGTTAACTTATAATCAGCACAAATTCTGATCCTTCTTCATGACCGGCACGATCGGGGTCGCCCAGTCAGAACGCTCCACGGGTGATAGAATGCCGTCGCGCACCAGCTGTTCGAGCGCACGCTCGACGGACTCGCGCAACGCGTAGGCCATCGGCCGCGCGCGCATAAACACCGGCCGCGCCCCCTTGCGGACGTGAGTATGAGAGAGAGAGAGAGTACCTGGTGCACAAATTAAATAAAAGTCGGTACTTGCAGGTCTGTCGCAATTTTATTAACTAGAAAGTACTGTTCTAATCGTTCTACATATAACCGCCAGTCGTCACAGTTAATTTTGAACTCGGACATTTTTCCGATCGACATTTTACCCGATTTATTGTTTATTTAACTGCAATCGTATACGCGTAATATTCTAATATCCTTTTTTTCTCTCTCGTCGCCACTGTTATGTCTACGCATTTCTTTGCCGGATTAAAGGGTCCGAAATTATACTACACGACTTTGCTGTACCCACTAGTTACAATATATTACATATATATATATATTATAAAATATTTATACCTTCTTTTTATATGTAAATTTGTTAATATTTAAAATGGAAAGCCTGAAAATAATTTAATGATTTTTTAATCTATCTATGCTATATGCTAATTAAAGTGGCTCTAGTGGCTATAATACTTTTATTTATATGCAAATATTACAGTCGTCACAAAATAAGAAGCCCGTTTTGACATTTGTCATGGTGGCGTAACTAGTGATTAACCATACGACTCGGTGCACGATACTTACGTTAAATCGATTCAAGCTTGTAGAGTATTTGATTGATTTGACTACATATCACAAAGTGCATTGGATTTAAGTTATAATTAGAACATATAACTTAAACTTTAATGTTATAGGCAATTTGAAATGATACAATGGAAAGAAATGTCAATTTGTCTTTAATTTAAAAATTTAGCTCAATCACAACAAAATCAAGAAAAGTGAAATCAATCATTTTCTTCTGATGACGAGCTAGATGAGCTATCGTCGCCTGTATATAAAATTATTTCATTTTCTATAATATTATCAATATTGACGTCTCTATCATAATCTTCCTTTATTATTTTTCGCGTCTTTTCTTCCACTTTTGCCCAATCTTCTTTAGTTATTTTGTCACAAGCTTCTTTTAACAATGTCATCATATTCTTAGTGGAGAATGGTGGCTTTGTATTATGACGTGCTGCGTATCCCTTGACCTGAGCCCAGATTAATTCAATAGTATTGTACTAACAATGGTACGCCGGCGTTCTTTTCAATTTGTGACCATGTTGAAGTGCCAATTCATCGATTTTTTATCTTAATTTTGCAGGTTTATTTGTTTTACTAATTCCAGCAGTTCAGCTTTAAATAAATTCATGTCAGCTTCTACGCCTTTTCTTTGTAAACACGCCACTAAATCTGCCTTTTTGCTTGCTTGAGTAGGTGCCTTATCTATTTGAACTGAATGGTAAGGTGCATTATCCATAATTAAATTTAATTTAATTTAAATTTTTGTGCACTGTTCGGGGAGGTTTATTAACAACTTAGTAAACCACTCTAAGAATTTATTTGCATCCATTTCTTCGTGGTATTCTTTTGTACTTCTGGACTCGAATGCGAGTAGAGCATCATGCACAAAGGTCGTTTTTCTCTACATCATCATCATCCCACACTACACAAAAGTTACTAAAGATATTGATATAGTACCACAAGATTGTATTTTTAAATATGTTAAATTGTTACAAATATCGAAAGAACGCCAGGAGTATATATTAGCCAACGAGGAAGATACAATATTTTTTTAATTTGTATTCCGACATTATTCAGTTTTGTATTTAGTTACAGTTGACCCTATGGTCAATGCAGCTTTTTTTTTTAAATAAAACAATGATTCGTTTTTATTTTCCTTTCTACTCATGAATCATCACCTACCCTATATAGCGATAAAGTTTATAAAGATATTCCTCATAAAAATTATAGTCAGAAAATAAATATAATAACACCGTAGCTACAACAATATTAGGTTATTCTGAATACGACTTTACTTTTACAATTTACTGACAATTTCGTGATGTACACATATTTTGAAAATGACTCTTATACACTAAAAGTCCAGATTAGCGCAGAGGTCAGTATATCAAGAACAGTCAAAATAACAACAATAACAGTCACGAGAAAATACACAACGAGAAACACTGGAGAACGTAGTCTATGCGTGCGAGACGACAAGAGACGACTGTTTTTAAATGTCACAAAATGGCGGTCCCCACAACGCTATTTTGGGTTGCCATTTTTTACCAGAAATATAAAGTATTATCAATGTTTTTTTAAATTCATCTGACTGATAGTATGACACTAATTTTCTTAAGTTTTGTTTGGGCGTACCTTTTTAACTTTATTAAATACTAAGTACATTATATATTATAACGTTTTATTTTATATTATACCGACAGATTATATTAAGACTACAAAAATATTCGATTACAATTGCCTCGTTATTTTGTCACATCACTACAAAAACAAACAGTTGACATAACCTTGAAACAGCGCCGTTTGACTTTTAAAAGCTTTTGTTAATTAATTGTAATAATTTTAGCCCAAAATTAATACATTTATTGTAAGTTGCCATAATTATTCGAATTTTAATGTTATCACTCGTTAATAAGGTTAATAAAAGATAGGTATTTAAAATTTTTGCCGTAAATTGAACGCCAGTTCAAAGTTACATCGCCCAGTCGATCACGATCTATCAGAAGCGCATTCTTTGAGCGGCTGGACTTTAGATATTAATCTACTGATATTGTACTACTGCTCTAGTTTTTCCTCCTGGAATAGATGTATGATATTTCAGTTAAGTCGGCACAAAGGGAAACACAACACAATGGCATAGTGATTTATTAATATAAATCGCATCCGACTACCTTTACGAGACACGGTGCATACTAAACCCGTCAAGTTAGTCTTGTTGAATATCGATTGCCTCGTTCTAACGCCTTTCTTTTTTGTTGCCTGTTTTCGTATTCAACAATCACGAAATGAAACAAATACAACGGGTTTTTAACTGTTTATTTTGAATAAAAATACGTCTACGTCTCCTTCTTGGTGTCGGTCTTTCCACCACGAATTCTTCCGGTTCTGCGAGCAGCAATAAGACCAACCTTGCGACCAGCGGATGTTCCTCTCTTGACGGTTGAAGCCTTACCTGTAATGAAAAATATAAATTATTTCTATTTCATTCAAATCTATTTTTCGTTTTTTTTCAATTACAAAACATGCCATTTACATTTGAATTTTTTGATAATATATATATAGACAATATTGTACCACTGTATTCCACTTACCAATATGTTGGTGGTTACCACCACCATGAGGATGCTCAACGGGGTTCATGGCCACACCACGCACATATGGCCAGCAGTTACGCTTAACCTTGTACTTGTGGTAAGCACGACCGGCCTTCAGGATGGGCTTGTCAATACGACCGCCGCCAGCAACAATACCTGACAATCAAAAACCATTACCATGTAAGAGATGTCTTTTAAATTATATTGATATATTCCTTAAGACAGCATCAGAAAGAGCCTCTGTGTAATCAAAGAATTTTCAGAGTAGGTAAGTTTAAAAACATCATGTCCATATTACTAACTTGTAAGTTTACAATCTAGATAAACTAAACAAATAGGGGTTGGTTGACAGTCAAGTTAAATTAGTGCTTTTATATTGAATCAACATCATTCCCTTCCATTGTCATAATCTGTCAATTATGGTATCATAATGACTTAACTGGGTAGTTTGTGATAATAACTAAAATCAATAACAGTTTGGGTTTGTGATTAAAGGTCTCTTTTAACACAGGTATTACTTGCTTAAATTGTTTGTTTTTCTGATGTGATAGTCTATACACCCTTTACTACATTTAAATTGTAATTTAATTAAGTTATATTCATATAAAACTAGTTCTATAAGAAACTACTTCAATTAAGTATGTAGGCACAAAAACAGCAAAGTAAACATTTTTCATCATCATCATCATCATCATCAGCCTATCGCAGTCCACTGCTGGACATAGGCCTCTCCCATTGCACGCCACTTAGATCGATTTTGGGCTTCTCGCATCCAGCTCCTGCCAGCCATCTTGCGCAAATCGTCACTCCACCTGGCCTGTGGGCGTCCTACACTACGTTTGCCGAGACGCGGTCTCCACTCAAGAACTCGTTTTCCCCAACGGTTATCGGTTCTGCGGTTAATATGGCCAGCCCACTGCCACTTCAACTTGCTGATCCGGTACGCTATGTCGGTGACCTTAGTTCTCTGCCGGATCACCTCATTTCTGATGCGATCCCTTAGAGAAACGCCGAGCATAGCCCTTTCCATAGCACGTTGAGCGACTTTGAACTTGTGGACCAGCCGTACCGTAAGTGTCCACGTTTCAGCTCCGTATGTCATGACGGGTAGGACGCACTCATTAAAGACTTTCGTCTTAAGGCACTGTGGGATCGACGATGAGAAGACTCGACGTAGCTTCCCAAACGCTGCCCAACCCAACCGAATTCTTCTGTTCACCTCGTCCTCGAAGTTGTTTCTACCTAACTGCAATGTCTGCCCGAGGTACACATAATTTTGAACAACTTCGAGAACGGCACCGTGTACCGCAATCGGTTCCGGTAGTACATGTTCGTTGAACATGACCTTGGTTTTATCCAAGTTCATCCGTAGGCCGATGCGTACAGAAGTGTCAGCTAAGTCATTCAGCATTTGCTGTAGGTCCTGCAACGTCTCTGCCATGATGACGATGTCATCTGCAAATCGCAAGTGAGAGATGTATTCGCCATTGATATTGATGCCACGCCCTTTCCAGTGCAGCGTCTTGAACATGTCCTCCATTGCATTTGTGAACAATTTCGGGGAAATAACGTCCCCTTGTCTCACTCCTCGATGCAATGGTACGGGCCTTGTTTGCTGATTCTGTACTTGGACGGACATGGTGGCGGCTTCGTAGAGACATCTCATCACTTTGATGTATCGCCAATCTACTTGGCAACGCTGCAGGGACTCCAGAACAGACCAGATCTCGATCGAGTCAAAGGCTTTCTCATAGTCCACGAATGCTAGACACAGGGGCTGATTATATTCTTTTTTTAGACATTTAAAAATAGAAATTACAGATATTTAATTTCAAACTATTAGTAGTAGAGCATTACCACTGAATTTTAAGGGCCAGCGCAGAACAAGATGAGTCCAGGGAAGAGGATTTTTTTAAGACACTCGAAAATAAAATTTTATGAAGTGCATCTGTCTGCACTGGCCCTTAGAATTTAGTGCACCTGAACTTTGATAGGTAAAATATATATATATATATCACACAACTCACACACGGCCGTCTGATCCCAAAATAGGCAAAGCCTGTACTATGGTAACCAGACTGCTGATAAACGAACATACTTATATATTTCTAAATACATACATATTATAGATAAATTACACGCAGACACAGAACAAATGACCGTGCTCATCACACAATATTTGTCCTGGGTGGGAATCGAACCCACGACCTCCGGTTTAGCGGTCAGGGTCACTAACCACTAGACCAACAGGCCTGTCGTTAGGTTATAAGAAACTGTAGTTTTTATCCCTCAATTGTCATTTCTTAGTTGTAAGATATATTCTTCTGAATATAAATGGGACCAACCTTGAATATCATCAATTCAATAAAAAGAGCATAATTAGAATCTGTTTACAATTAGGAAGATATTTTATATCATGCATTTACTGACATGCTATACATATTCTACAATATTTAAAAAAACAGTAGCAATATACTTCCTATATATGACTTGTAACTGCCTACCTCAACTAGTTTTGGCCTATATTTCAGGAACAGGTTGATTTCTTGACCATTTCTTTCTTATGTATCTCTTAGGAGCATAATATTAAACACCTAGTTTAATTAAATCCTATTATTAAAAAGATTTTAGCAATTTTTACTCACCAACCATGCCTCTGTTGCTGGAAGGTAGAACTTTCTTGGCTCCAGATGGTAGTTTCACCCTAGTGCGCTTGGCATCAGGGTTGTGGCCAATTACAGTGGCAAAGTTTCCAGAAGCACGAGCAAGCCGGCCTCTGTCACCCATTTTCTCTTCTAGGTTACATACAATGGTACCCTCAGGCATGGCACCCACTGGCATAACATTGCCTAAAAAAAAAACAGTCTTTATTTATTTTTATTATTAGTTGATCATTAGTTGCCCTTCAAGTGAAAAATGAATGACCGAACAATAAAAAAATTAATATTGCATAAAGGGCAGTAACAAAGTATTTATTGTAATATAAAACATTTTACATTCAACGTTCACATCACATCATAATGACAAAATGATGCTTTGTGTTGACTTGTAGCTAATCACATTAGGATACAAGAAAGAGTATTTGATGAAATTTCTATACAATATATTGAAACAAAGGATTTACATGCATCTATAATTGGGAGAACCCAGTTTTTGAAAGTATCATATTTTAAAGTAATTGGTCAATAAATCATAGTAACTTACCAACTTCTAAGGTAGCTTTCTTGCCACAGTATACAAACTGGCCAGTATAGAGACCCTCAGGTGCAATGAACAACTCCTTACGTGTCTTAAACTTATATGGGTCACGGAAGTGAACCACCGCCAAGGGAGCACCACGACCGGGGTCATGGATGATGTCCTTAAAAAAATATAAATGAGGATTAAAAGAAATAAGATAAAAAAATATTGCTAAACTAACTAAATATTTCATCAGAAAGAGCCTCTGTGTAATCAAAAATTCTTCAGAGTAGGTAAGTTCAAAGTCATCATGATCAAAGCATAGTACTGACATAGCCTGTATACTTTTAGTGTAAACAATAAGGTTCAGAATGATCTTGTCATTAAAACAAAAAGACAAATTTACAATTAACACTAAAATAAGTATAGTTATACTTATTTTAGTATAGTATAGTTATACTTATACTTATATAAGTATAGTTATACTTATTTTAGTGTTCATTGTATTATTTTAGTGTTTATTTAAATTTTACAGTTTGAAAATTATTCAAGTTAATACCCATTTAAATAATAAGCTACTATGGACTTCCAAAAAGCTAGAAAGAAACTTTAATGATATGGTTAAGAATAATTGACTGCCTCAGTGGTGCAGTGCTAGCATATGGAACTGCTGTGCCAAGGTCTTAGGTGTGATACAGGGGTTGGACCAAATGTTGAATATTTTTTTCGCAGTTTGGGTTCGCAGTTTCTATTTATACATATGTATACATTTATAAAAAAAAAGTATACAAGTATTCTATCAGTCAATCTAGCTTATATGGGTTAGTTTGAAACTAGATGGCGTTGTGTGTCAGATGTCCGAAACATTATTATTAACAATAATTGGAAATTGTTAATAGCGAAATTTCTTAACACTCAAACTGAGAACGAATTTAAACTCAATAGGTATGTAGTAATAATATCAATAATAATTTGTTTAGGGCAGGTATAGTGGTAGCCACTATGATTGCTATAACTTCTTGTCCAATTTGGAGTTCCAAATGCAGCATTTGCTAAAAGAATATTCCACAAAATTTTCAAAGTTCTCACAAAGAAAAATAGGCTTTAATATGTTGCTCCTTCAGAAAAAGTTAAGGTTAGAGAAAGTTACACAAAATGCATTTACTTGAGATGTATAAATTTTAAACGTTGATTTAGGAAAACCACAAGTGTGTTTTGTACAATAATAGAAAAAAGCATTCTAATATTTAGATAGCATCGTATTGTTAAAACCAAACTTAACTATCCATGCTTTACTGCATGTGTGGTTGTTTGAAAGTTACACAAACTTTACCCACCTTTACAACACCCTTGATGTAACCATGACGTTCAGCATAATCCAAGGAACGAAGTTTAGGTGCTCCTTTCCTTTTCTTAGTATGTGATACGAACACTGAACCGGCACCTTTACGTTGAGCACGAATCACACGACCCATGATTACGTCCCGTCACTGAAAGTTTACCAAGTAACATTAAATAAAAATTCAGCCACTTTCCAGTGGATGAGTTAAATGAATTATATATTTCATAGTTTTCAGAAAAGAAATTGCAATACACATTGCGATAATACGGGATTAAATTTTCAGCCCAGAATTTTACGTACATTTCTCAGACGGACACTTTTGAAAGAACCTATTAATGTTGCCAAGACTCTAAGTTGATTTGTTTTTATTTTTTGGTTGGACTTTTTTTTCATGACGGCAACACTGAAGAGAATTAGTTTTCTTCACTTCTTTAGACAAAGCGAGCGGAGTGAATCCGGGATCCTCTGCAACTACATTGTAACTACCGCATAAGTATATAGTAAATATACTCTGAAATTATATATTTCATTGTGTTGGGTCTTTATATTTAATACCCCGTGACCCCGAAACTTTCGAGGAAAATACAATCTCATAGCCGACGAAAGAGGGTGGTGCACTCGAAATAAAGTGAGCAGTGTACGGACTCTCCTGTCAAGGGCATCATATTCGGCCTGAGTCCATCTAGGTGTACCAAAAGAATACATTAGAACCAGCATGACCCAACCATTGCAGGCTCGCACCTTGTTACCCCTTGATAAAAAACTTTTAAGAACTTTTCAATAGGCCAAAGAAGCGTTCCTGCAATGTTTGTTTCATGTCCAATTCTGGTATGCCTAAGGACTGAATATATACCTAGATACTTGTAGGTTTTAGTGGCAGACTAAAATCTAAGTTTTGTTTCATCTGAAAGCTCTGTTCCTTCAGGTTCTACTATCACGCCCTTCTTTACATACTTGACTGCACATTTGTCTACACCAAATTCCATTTTGAAAGAATTTCTAAAGTTTTCCCTCACCTCTAGTAACGCTGTCAATTTTAATTTTGTGGGGGCTTGTAGTTTCAAATCATCCATATAAAAAGGTGAGATATAACTTGATCATCTTTCTGCAACCTATAGCCTAACCCTGAAACCTATAATAAGCTGCTAAGAAGCTTCAAAGCGAGACAAAACTACAAGCGACTCAGACTATCACCTTGAAATATACCCACTTGATCTTTATTAGTACATCGTTTACCGCAGTCTGCCGACATCCTAGATAGGAAAGTGCTGTTCTCCATTGCCTATTACATGAATCCAAGAAAGTGTACAGAGTTGTATGAATTTTATACAACTGCAGCACCTTTACAAGCCATGTATATGGTGTTGATTGATAATCTCTGAGTATATATACTCTTTTGATGTCAACTCTGATCTGTTTGGTTTATAATACATAAAGGTTTAAATTACTTTAAATTTGGAATGTTAGTTTTGTTTGTTCAGACTGAATTGTCATATTCTTTGTATTCTGTAAAAATATCTTAAAACAGTAACATGTGTATTTTTCTATAAATTATATCCATAAAAATGTAAAGTTCAAAATAAATACGTTTAGAAGTCTGTGTCTTATTTGGTTTAAAAGTGATCTCATTAGCCACATCCCCCGTTCAACAGGTTATGGCCCAGAACAATTATTTTAACTGAAGATGATAAATCTAAACCCAGCACGTCTATATATACGATTTAAATATACGAAGTACGAGTGTGAGTTTTCTTGATGGTCAGAATGAGGAAGCTATAGAAAATAGAGGGATTATTATTTTTTGGATGCCAGTGAGGATAGAGTGGAGAAAGTTGATGTAGTAGTCGTTGGAGCGGGAGTTGTCGTAGCCGTAGTTGATGTAGTTGTTATTGGAGCAGGAGTAGTAGTTGTCGTTGTTGTAGTTGTTGTTTGGAGCAGGAGTTGTTGTAGTTGATGTAGTAGTTGTTGGACCGGGAGTTGTTGTAGTCGTAGTTGATGTAGTTGTTGTTTTTGTCGTTGTTGTAGTTGTTGTTTGGAACAGAAGTAGTCGTAGTTGCTGTAATTGTTGTTGGAACAGGAGTTGTTGTAGTTGATGATATAGTTGTTATTGGAGCAGGCGTTGTTGTAGGAGCAGGAGTGTTGTTGTCGTTGTTGTAGGAGCAGGAGTAGTGGTAGTTGTAGTTGATGTAGTTGTTGTCAGAGCGGGAGTAGTCGTAGTCGTTGTTGTAGTTGTTGTAGAAGCAGGAGTAGTGGAAGTTTGCGGCTTCGTCTTCAAGTTTTGGTGATGTGATGGTGTTGGTGGGAAGTCACTTGAGTGATTGGTGTTGTTGTCTTGTGATGGATGTTATTGGAATTTTTAGGTGTTTTAATTCTAAACTTTTTAGTTAGGTAGTGCTGGTGTAAAGGGAAAAGGATTTAATGTTTCGCGCAGTGGAAGCGTGTGTGTGAGATTGTTGTAAGGGGGAAAGGAAACTTTTTACAGAATTTTTGAAAAAAAAACCAAGATATTTTTACAGAATGCCAAGAATATATCAATTCAGTCTGACCAAATAAAACTAACATTCCAAATTTAAAGCAATTCAAACCTTTATGCATTACAAACCAAACAGATCAGAGTTGACATCAAAAGAGTAAGTATATCTGAGATTACCAATCAACATATGGAACCGCGTCATTAGCCTTCTTATAGTCTATCCAACATGTCGTCACTCTTACGATTACGACGTACCTGTTGGCTAGTGGTCATGTCTATGATAAGGAGTTCTTTAGTGCCACGGGTCCCACTTCTACATCAACTCTGACAAACGGTCATAATCGAATTATCATTAATGTGTAAAGTCATTTTGAGTCTCTGAATAAATGTTAGAAGTTTAAACACTTTACTTATTATTATGATTATACCTGGTGAAAATATGATTTTAATGAAGATTGCCTTTCAAGGATTAAATAATTAAGTATTCAAAGTAGTCTATATTGACACACGGATCTTTGACGACCTATGGAAGATTGACGTCAGTGAAAAAAATAAGAGATGCAAGCGGGGCCCACTAGTAGGTTGTGTAAATATTTTAATACTGACTTCCCATTAAATAATTCGTCCCGTAAAAACTCCAGAAACTTAAAACTTTTTTTTTTAACTTAACACATAATTTTCATAAAGAATAAAATATCTGCAGTGACTCATTGCAGCCCTTTTTACAACTTACCTATAATTTATCTAATGATGTATATTTAGCAACAAATCAGACCTGTACTCAAGAATATTTTTTTTTGTCGTCTCTAAATTAGAATTTTGCCTCTTTTCAATCATAATCACTCCAAAAGAAAAATATAATATGTTACTAAAAAAATATCAAACTTTTTTTACGCTAGTATACAAAGTTAATGATTAAACTGTATGTGTTATTTAATAATCTGTGGATAATATTTATTTTATTTTATTTTTATTTTTATTTTAATATTAGTAAGATAGACAATTTAGTTGTATGATAATATTATTATGATGATAGTATTAGGGTATTTTCGCGAAATGTGAACACGGGTAAAAATGGTTGTCTAACTAACACTAACTTCAATTAAGCATTGCTCACTATTTCTCTCACTTGTAATATAGTAGTTTTATTTTGCAATTAGTAATTTTTCTTATTTTAAAAGGACTGCATTAGGAATATATCCTGTGTCGCGGGGGACTTTACAAACATACATGAAACAGACACAAAGAACACGCAGACTCAGAACAGCAATTTGTGGCTCACACAAAGTGTCGTCCCTTGTGGGGTTTAAACCCCTCGGCGTAGTAGGAAGCGGCGTGGCGACCGCTTAAACCACTACGCCATCCGTGCAGTCAGATGTTTTCCTCGTTAAAATGAAGCATAAAATTTACATTCAATTTACTTTGTTTAAGAAAACTTTTATTTTTTGCTGTTCTATGCTGTCTCAGGCAACTTTGGATGCTTAAAACTTGTATAGATCATAAATATTTGATAAAAATGGTGGAAAATCCTACATGGTCATGACAGTAAAAATGCGTTTTGTGATGAAAACTATCAAAACTTATTCTAATTTTGATTCTAATAACATTATCTGCCTACGAAAGCCATCATATCAAATGTTCATTTATTTGTTGCCGAAATGCGTAACAAAAGTTTTGCAAATAATATTGTATCGCAATAGTCACGACCTTTCTTCTCAACTGTAAGTATTTTTTATAGTATTTAAGCTTCTCTCAAATAATTGTTTGTATGAATGTTCTAATTTATCAACAATTAGACCATCAAAACGATCAAAAATCAAGATATTGTTGCAGAAGATAATGAAGGTTACGTCCGTATCGTCACGTGACATATATGCGGAATAATAATCGTGACGTCTAGGAAATTAAAGAGTTGTCAACATCGTGCTTTACCCGAATACACAAAAATAAATAACAATGTGTGTTTTAAACTAGTTATATAAGTTTGCTTGCTTGCGGTACAATCATGAGTCTATAGATGTAAAACAACTGATTTTAAACGTTGTAAACAAAACCTTGCCGTTTTAAACCCCAAATAAATCGATTTAAATGGTTGAAAACGGTTGTTGCCAATTTTTGGTCTTCGTTGGTTTTCGTTTTAATTAGTTTATAGAAAATCAATAGAAAGTACCTGCTTACTTTACTTACTATAAGAAAACTTAAGTTTGTAGGAATACCTACAAATACTTATTTATTATATTATATTACACACACTAGATTAGAACACATCAATAACACAAAGCCGTCCGTTTAGTTCCGCATGAAAGAGACAGTGTTATGTCTTCTAGGACGTTGCGCTGGTGCCGACGTTGTCAACAAGAGTGCGAGAGTTTTAGTTTGGTTCTAAACCGAATCAAATTGATTATTTATATCCTTTGAAAACAATAAAAAATGGCAACTTACTAACACAGAGTTTTCAACTTTTCAATAAAAAATGTTAACTTAGGTAGGTAATAAATTTGTTTATTTGGAAACTTAACAGCTATGTTACATATATCATGGGTGAAGTTAAACATTATTTAGACTCTTAGCCAATAATAAAGTTTCGCGACAAGTTAAAGAAAATTGCGTGCACCACTTAAACATAGGCAATTGTACGTATTATATACTATCTATAATTTAATTTATATTAGGTATATTGTGCAGAGTGAGAAGTATTCCAAAAGAAAGCAACTTACAAAAACAATCTTAATTTGGATTCACAAGTATGATTGCAACTTTTTAGTTATTTGTCTTTTTGAGAGGTGGAAGATGTCAATCTCGTCAAAATTAATATTGTAACAGCTAGGCAAACGAGTGAGAACAGAATTCTTAGCATAATTGGTGCGGTGCAGAGGAATTCTGAACAAGCGCGTATGTTTAGTACGAACCCCGGGCGCATTCAAGTTAATATTAGAGAGAAGGTCGATACTATCAATTTCACCTTGAATGATAGCGAACAAAAAGCTCTTGTCTAGTAACACACGCCTACTAAATAGAGGCAGTAGATCATAGTGCTTGCAGTCGTCAAGATATGATAAATGTCGTCTCCTTGTCTTAAAATTTAGATGTCTCACGAAACGTTTTTGAACTCTCTCAATTTTATCTGTGTATGTAACATATTTGGGAGACCAAACAGGACTACCATAGTCAAGTACACTTTGCACGTATGCGCGGTAAACAGTTTTAAGGCAGTTGATATTCCTTAATTTAGCGCACGTACGCATAACGAAGCCTAGATTTCTGAATGCCTTACTGGTAATGGTGTCTATATGACGAGAAAAAAAAGCATTTTAGAATCCAACACTACCCCCAGGTCTCTTACATGATCTACCCTAGTGATAACATTATCACAGAATTTGCATGTGTACTTGATAGGACTTCTACGACCACTAAAACTTATGCACTGACATTTATCAATGTTAACCGTAATTTTATTGCGTTTATAAAATACCTTCGCTTGGTCGGACGGACCAACTAGAACTAAATATATAAAAATCTTAACATAGTTTATAGGTACTGCTTCATATCCCTACCTCGGTAAAATCAAGAAAATGTAGTTATAATTAAGAAAAACATAGTCATCAACACCAAAAAAAAGTTTTTATATATATACATAATATATAGTTATTAAATATTATGGCTCTTATCTCACTTCAGCTGAAAAAACAAAACGTTACAGGGAAAAACTAAAAACGCTCCTCTAGGATATCAAACTCAGAGAAGGAAACAACTAGAACCACTAAAGAAAAATTTAATTAATGTAAACTCAGCTTTACATTCCATTAAGTGACGATGTTTTTATACATAGTAACTGTCCCACTTTTTGAACTAAATAATTGTTGATTTTCTAACTTAAAAACTTGTAGTCATAATGAGCTCTGTAGATTTAGGTTTAATTATAAAAAAGAAGAAACTAAATATTAGTTAAAGACTAATTAACTGTAAGAAAAGTAATGATACTAGGTTGCCGAAATAGTGACAATTCGAACACAAAACTTATGATTGTTCCTATTCCATGTGGATATGTAGTTAATAAAATGTATTTTTGTTGTTGTTTTTAACCTAGTTTATAATCATTTCATGGTTTCATTTCAAAATGCCTTTAAAATGAGTGATGACGCGAAATAACTCTCCCCGCCTTAATGATTCTTTGATATAATACCAATATTTTTTCTGTTATTAATAAAATTCCACCTTCGTCACGTGGACAACTTTTCGAGAAAATGCCCATTATGAAGTGTATAGACGTAATCCTCCATAGTTCCAATGAGTATGTATGTTATGTAAATATCGCTCAATCTAAGCAGCATAGCAACACTAGTACATAGTTATCTGTGCTCCATTCCATACTATCCAATAACAATATTACTGTATACTGTATGTATTCTGTGCCATAGTATAGTAAGTATTATAATTAATACTATTATAATTAATAATCCGTACATACATTTCTTATATTATTATATTTCTTCTCATTCTATTGTGTGATTGCAGTTGAATTGTATTGTACACTTCGATAGTCTTTGAATTTCATTCCATCGTATTAAAATATTGATTACTGGTATTGCTAAGAAAACTGTCGAATTCATTCAGCGATACTTAAACTGGCAAGTGTTTTGTCTAAATGACTATTTCGACCAGAAGACTTGTTCAGATTGCAGCATGGGGCGGCTTAATAGTTAGTGCAACAGGGTTTTATTTACAGCAAAGGTTAATAGAAAGAATAAAGGGCTTTGATTACTACAAAATGGCTTTAAAGAGGTTACGAATTCATCCTGGAGCTGTTCTCTATTTAGGAGAACCAATTAAAGATAAGAATTTCAAGATTACTGATACTGTAAACAATTTTTCTGATGGTAAAACAGCAAGATTTTGTATACCTGTCTCAGGGCCTAAAGACAGAGGGAGTTACTACTTTTGGGCGGAAAATACAGACAATGAATGGAAAATAACTAGAGCTGAATTAGAATTAAAATCAAATCAAGATGCGAGACTTCTCATAGTCAAATAATAGCCTTAACATATCACTTACCAATGGAAATTGTAGTCATATTATAGAATAAATTAATTTAAAGCGTGATACATTAATTATTGCAGACAATTTTTTTGTTCAAAGATTGAGCAAATTCCCCTTTGAGATATTAAGTATACATGTTAGAAATTTTTGTTTCAGTCTCGTACTGAGTTGCATTAAATCGTACCAGAAGATGATTATTGAATAATAAGAGGATTAGATTTTGTTTTCAAATATTGATAATTCATTAATAATGTTTGTTGGAACATCAAAAGAAAGATTTTTCTATCATAATACATTGATATGCCTAGTAAGGGGTTTGACAGGTCAAAATATCACTGTGGACCTTCGTAATGATGCTTATGTTTGTGGAAAAATGGACATTGTGGATGGGTAAGACAATTGATACAATATTTATATTTGGTTTATTTGATTTAAATTAAAGCAGCCAGGTAAATAAGTAGTACCTGGATGACCAAGCTTTGCTTGGTATTTTTTTTTTTGGTAAATTTTCTTAAAATGAAACCTAGCTAGATTGATTAATCACCCCTGAAACTCCCTGCATACTAAATTTAATGAAAATCATTAGAGCTGTTGCCGAGATTTAGATTATATACATATATACATTGGTTTTGATTTGGTTGTTTAAAGGTATTAGATTAATTATCTAAAAGCAAGAATAAAGTAAACAAGGCAAATTATTACTTTACTGTACCTCAGCCAGTCATTTAAAATATTTGAAGGAAAGAATGTTTTATAAATTTGAATAAATTATTGAAATTTTTTGAAATATTTATTTTTCTAAGTGAAGAGGATAATTTATTATGATGGAAATTTAAAGAATAGCTTCTACTTGAGCCATATTAATGATTTATGTTTAAAATGGATCATCATCAGCCTATCACAGTCCACTGCTGGACATAGGCCTCTTCTATAAAACTCAAAAATGACATTTAATAATAATGGGGAATAAAATAAAAGAAGCATATTATGACCAGGAAATCTTCAAAAAATTGTTTACCAAATTGTGTTATTGTTAAATTGTAATGAACCATATGATCACTCAGCAGCTGACCTGCACAACTTTGTCTATGTCTCTCAAAAGAAATAAGTTATCCTCATTTTGCAACATTTTTGTCATTGAAGATCGGCTCCTATTGGTGGTAGCGTGATGTTAAATAGCCTTCCTTGATAAATGGGCTATCCAACACTAATTTTTCAATTCTAATCAGTAGCAGTAGTTTGAACACACTAATCTTAGGAAGATTAGTGTGTTCAAACAAACAAACAAACTCTTTAGCTTATAATATTAGTATAGATGTGGTTTGGGAAGAGCGCCAGAATGGTTTATAGTTAAACCGCCGTAAGCTTGGCCCTCCTGATGGTTTGCGGGACGTGGGGCGGGTGATGCGCTCGGCTATACATGACACGATGTACTGTCGATATCTTCAGATTTATTTGTTTGAGATTTAATCTACACACTATGTAATAAAAATCGAATTTATTTCCATGTATTATAATGTCAGTGTATTGTAAGTTTTTATGATTAATTGTAAAATTTAATACTGTAAAATAATTTTAATAAAATCACCTTATCTTCATCATGTAAATTATATTCAGATACAATTTAAAAATTAAGTAAAATAATAAATATTCTTTATTAGAACTTTAACAGTAGCACCTCTGTAAGCCGAACTTCAAGTTTTTAAATCTTTTTGTGAAGCAGAGTCGGCAGATTATCCATATTGCAAAATAATACCGTGTGTAGCAGTCTTAAGAAAAATAACACGTACAGCCATGCTTTCACGTCAGTCACTGCCGGCGGACAGCGACGCACTAGCTAATTGGTTGAATGCACCCCCGCCCCGCGTCCCCCAAACCATCAGGAGGGCCAAGCTTACGGCGGTTTAACTATAGTTGAATGAAAAAGTTATCTATTTCCAATGATCAATACATGGTATAACCTGCCCTCCTCTTAATCCAATTTAACAAGTGCTATATAAAAATACAAATTATTTAAAAATTATGTTGGTTAGTTTTATATTTAAATGGATGTTGGTAAGCATTTCACTTGACTAAAGTATGGTGAAGTAGTTAATTCGATTCATTAATCAAATGACTTAATTTAAGGTAATTGACTATTCTTGTTTTTAATAAACTATGGAAAGATAAACTAACAATATCTTATCATTTATTACAATTCATTATATTCTAATTTTTTTAATCCAAAAGGAAAATATTTTTATTTTGTTGCAGTTATATGAACTTATCATTTACAAATGTTGTTTATTGTGATCCTCAAGGGAATGAATTCTTCTTTGAAAATATGTTCATACAGGGTCGTAACATTCGATATGTTCATATCCCAGAAACAGTAAGTGATGTTTCTTACTGAGAAATGGCATTTTTTTTTAATAATTTATATTTAACACAGACATTTTATTTTAGACATCTATTGTTTCAACAATTAACAAAGAATTAAGTTCAAGTAAAAAACCAGTGGCTAATAAGAAAGGTGTCAATGAATCTAGAAAAGTCAAGAAAGCTCTCAAACAACATTTAGAAACTGTGGCTTCTTTGCAATAAAAAAGTTAATTTAATACTTCTATTTCTATTTTTTGATTCATACCTTTTTTTTTAGTAAAACTAACAAATCGGAAAATACCCAAAAATACCTAAAAACTGTACCCATAGAGAAAGAGGCGGATTAAGTATATAGAACGCCATAAGCAAGCATTTCATTGACGCAATCATTATATCATCATAGAGAATCCTCACTCAGATAGCCGTCACGATATGGCCACCTCAATCTTGGCATCCGCAGGTGATCTGCTGCGTCAGCCGGCATGAGAGTCCCGTGTTTCCTCTCGAGCCAATACTCCACAACAGGTCTTACCGCCGCTATATGCCTATAGTGCGATTGATTGCCCAAGTCTTTCCTTCTATTACTTCTCGAAGACTCGGCAGAGGTGGGATTACTGGTTCTAAATTTATCGAGTCCCACGATCCCAACCCAGAACAAGCCCCAGATACCTCATCGAGGACTAGAGTATAGAGTCCCAGCGTCCGCATCCTCACGGTGCGCCTTACCGCAGGCCGTCACGAGCGTGTCGTCTGCGTAGACGGCGGCCACACCATCCAAGAAGGCACCGTGGAGCACCCAGTGTAGCCGATATTCCACAGAAGCGGCCCTAACACCGACCCCTGCGGAACACCGCACGACATAATTCCACGGTCTTACTTAGGGCGATGATGGCTCCGCCCCTCCTAGCGCCTGCCCATTGCCCAAAAGCGCGGCACCACCTTCGGGGATAATCATTTAGAAGACGTTCACCACTCGAAGACGTCACCTCCTCGCGGTAGGCCCTTCATGGCGAGTGGAGAGGAAATCCGTCCACCTGAGACCACACGTATGAGGCGCTGGAAGGTGCCCCAGCCACGGAGCGTGTACCAGCTGGTAGCGAGATATCTTCTCGGAGAAGGCTACGTTGACCAGTGTATGCTGAGCCGAGTTCAAACTGCACTGCAGTGGTGACAGGCGCAACTTAATTTACGAGGGGTGATCAATAAGTAATGATAATCAATATGAAACAGAACTATTAGATTAAAAAAAGTATTTTATTTTTCAACATAGTCTCCTTGCAAGTTAATACATTTAGTGTATCTTTTTTCTAAGCCCATGATTCCCTTAGAAAAAAATTCTTTGTCTTGACCCTCCCAAAATGCCTCTACTGCGGCCATCACTTCACTATTGTCCTCAAATTTGTTGCCCCGGAGGTGTTCTTTGAGCCGAGGAAAGAGGTAGAAGTCACTGGGAGCTAGATCTGGCGAATAGGGAGGGTGTTCGAGCAGTTCGAACCCCGTTTCTTCAATGGCAGCCATCGCAACTGCGGCTTTGTGAGCCGGGGCGTTGTCTTGGTGAAACAGCACTCCAGCGCGCAGTTTACCGCGTCTTTTTGACTTAATAGCTTCTCGCAATCTTCTTATTTGGCCTGCGTAGTAAGAGCCTGTTATAGTGGCCCCCTTTTCCAAATATTCCACCATAATAATTCCTTCTGCATCCCAGAAAACAGACGCCATAACCTTTCCCGCTGAACTTGACACTTTGAATTTCTTCGGCGTTGGTGAGGAAGCTCGTTTCCAAGTCATTGATTGTTGTTTGGTTTCGGGATCAAAGTGGTGGATCCAGGTCTCGTCCATGGTCACAAAACGCGACAAAAAAAATTCTTTATCGGCCTGGAACTTTTGAAGATTCACCCTCGAAATGTCGACTCGTTTCTTTTTTTGCTCGTCGGTTAACATTCTCGGTACCCAACGCGCAGAGACCTTTTTCATATGCATTTTGTTGACAATGATTTTTTGAACGCTGCCATAGGAGATCCCTGTGACCTCAGCTACATGTCTTACGGTCACCCTTCGATCGGCCAACACGATATCTTCCACTTTTTTGACGTTTTCTCCAGTAAGGGACGTGGAAGGGCGTCCCTCGCGATTTTCATCTTCAGTGGAGGTTCTGCCCAGCTTAAATTCCTTTGCCCAGCGTGCGACTGTGGAATATGGAGGAGCAGACTCCCCCAATGTTTCCTCTAAGTCGCTGTGTATGTCTTTGGTAGACATTTTTACAGGCAGAGGTACTTGATGACAGCTCTTATTTCATTTTTCTCCATTTTGATGTTTTCTCTTCGACAGTTCGTATTCAAATGTATGTATCTCCCGGTAATGGTGTCCTATTTATACATTTTTTTGAAGCTGAAGTAGTGGATATATAAGCAAGCAGAAAAAAAATAATTTGGGTTTTTGTGCGTTCTAGAAATACTCGATTATCATTACTTATTGATCACCCCTCGTACTAAAAGCGATCGACTGCGTCGGTCAGATATACCTGCGTCGGTCGGTAGAAAAAGGTTCATTGCTGCCCCCCTGCCCACTAGATGATGACCGGCTGGAGCACCTCCACGGCGCCAAAGCCAGTAAGTGGAGCCTCCAGCCGGGACGACCAATGATTCATCGTGGCTCGGCAAGCATCCGCCTCTAAATCCCATGGGAGACATCTGCCACCATCCTCTGATTCTGGGCCACCATATTCTGAGCGATCAGAGCTGCCGCCCACACCGTTGCACAGTATAGTGCCATTGGCTGGACAACCTTGGTCTATTACCACAACTTATAAAGCAATCTCTACTACAGCTACAGTTGTAGCAATTGCATTTTTGTGTACACGCACTAGCCTCAATCTTCGTAGGTTGAAAATGAAAACAAAGAATTACGTATTTTAAAACCTAGATCTCAACCTTAAACACCTATATAGAATTAACTTAATTCAATTAAGGAATTGTATATATTGTGTAAGTATGTGCATACTTACTGACACAGTTCTTTTTATTTTAGGCATTTTTTTTTGTTATGAAATGCTGCGCGCGCGCCCCTTTGTAACCTCGCGCCCCTTGGCATGTACCTATTTTGCCTTAGGGTTAATCCACCACTGTATACCCACCCCGCCCCGATAACAATTTGTTTTCAGAATGGCGACATTGTGCTCAGCACGAATGGGCCATGCGAGACGTCCAGGTGCCCCGGCTCCGGGACCAGTAAATGGCGTCATTGTGACCAGCACGAAGTCAGCACGCGCGCTGCATATATGCCGACATGAATTGCGCCGAAATTCCGGCTCGCACGGCATGTTGCCATTGTGAATACGACTTTGAACTAATCTGGGAAAAATTATTAATGTAAAAATTTTATAAAAACGAAAAATAACCAAAGCCTAAAATAACTCTCAAATAACTAAGCTGCAACTCTTATAATTATAATACATGTCTTGCGATAAAAATCTACTTTGAATATTGATGGAGTATTTACTTTCAAGAAAACTTTATTTTATGAGGAGGAGAGGGCCTAAGCAACTGTGCACTAGTTCCTGACGTCATCACAGTGGGCGTGGCTTTTAGTAATACTGTCAGCGTTCGTCGTGTGCGTTACCCCAGCAAAATAATGTCGAAAATGGTCATTTAAACGTTATAGATAATTAGTTGCTCCCCTTCTGTAATTGTTAGGCACATTTTTAAATTTGTTTCTCTTAAACTTTTTTAGTTATTTCAAAAAAACATTTCCTGCTGGGGTAACGTTTGAAACGTTACCGCAGCCAGACATTTTCTTTTTTAATTGTAATATTGAAATAAATTTTAGCTAGATAATTAGTTATCTGGACTAGGTAAATGTTACAACTTATATGGTATTTGTATTTTCTTCGGCTGCGAAGTTATTCGAAATCCTGCTGGAGTAACGTTTGTGGGTTTGCTGGATCTCTGAAACGGGTAAGCGGATTGTAACCATCTTTTGTACATAACTTCTTAAGGATTAGTTTTAATTTGTTCGACAATAAAATAACAAAAATAATGGACCGTTTAAAAATTATTTAGGTAAGTATGAAAACACTTCAATACGTCCTAACACTTTAAATAAGACCTCTAAAGACTTACTTCAAACGTTATTCCTTTGCTTGTAACTATCTTCAAATGTATACGAATTTTCGTAAGAATACTATAAGTGACTAAAAAGTTATGATGAAATGTAGCTCTCCACGTTCACGATCACAATGTGTGCGGCCTTTTTAGGCCACCGATAAACCTGTGTGTGGATATATAAACTGAATGTTATGCCAATAATTAGTTGTTTAGTTCAGTTGTCTACCTGTAAAATTTCAGCGTAGTACATATAATAATTTACGAGATAATTAAATAAAAGTCATTAGAAGGTGCAAGACCGTGGTAACCCGACCATGTTTAGGTGGTTACAAAAAAGCGATCACCCAGTACATTGTGCTGGCTTTTAAAATATGTAGGATATTATTTGCAAGTTTACTACGGATATGTACATAAGTGTTACAAAAAACTACATGTTTTTTAAATAATTTTTATTTAGAATTGTTTATTGCATAATTAGTAATCAGCCGGGAGATTAGGTATTGTTTTGAATGCTTTTGTTTTCTCGTAATGTTAAGGTGAATTGTTTATAGTTGTTCATAGAATTGGTACCTGCGTAGTATTTGTTAATTGAAGTTTAATTTTAGGGTAGGTATAGGTAATTTAAGTTTTGAAGAGTGTAACGTATGCGTTGTAAATAGGTATTTTGTGAATAGATGGGGATTTTTTTAAGTGATGAATTGACTTAGGCTAGCATATCGCGAACAAACTCTGTATTGCAATATTTCTGTAATAATGTTGGAGAAAATAAAATATTTGATCACAAAATCGCGGTGCGTTAAATTATAATAAAATAAATTATTTATATAAAATTAGTAATAAGTGATATACCTACCTACAAGTTATGATCGTTTTTAATTGGTTCACCCTTTTTTTTTTTTCCGTGCGGAAATCCCCTCGGATACCACCTTTCGGTGGCATGTCGGACTCGAACCGACTAAAACCGCACGCCGTCTCGGGTACTAATAGCCGGGGAACCAGGTATACCCTAGAAAGGAAGTCCCTGGTACTAATTGGTTCACCCTGAACAAAATTTCAATATTAGCATTAGTAATTAATATCCTAAGACAAGAATTGACAATTACTTAAATTGAATCGAATTAG